GGGAAAGTCACAGGGATCGAATTAGATAAATTAAGCCACGGATTTCCATCCAAACAAACCTTACATACTGCATGATAACCTTACTCTGCGGTAAATTTTGTCATATTGAGATTACTGTACCTAATATTTCCAATTTGCATGCATAATGTTAGATGGGTCCCGTCCACGTGTGAACCCACAGTTCATCAAAGCATGTGAAAACCAAACGTCGGTTAATTGACCATTCATCTGGACCGTCGATCGGTGCTGGGGGCCCAAACGACACATCGATCGAGAAGCTCGAAATGCGAGTGGTGATGGGTGGCCATGCAGAGCGAGATCCCATGCGGGTGTCGTGATTCGCATGGATTCACTCGAGCGCGGGTCCCACTGACAGCAGATGGACACGTGGGCTATATATTTACCACTTCGCTTACAATTTACGATTTACATGATATTTAAAAGTAACCAAATCATTATCCTTAAATTCACTTACTGATTAATTTCTTACAGGGTTTGCTGCGTTTAACCCCCCTAAACTTTATTTATTTCACATAACCCCGTGAACTTCACCTTGTCTCATCTAACCTTCTTTCTATAATTCACAAATAACTAAAATGTCTTTGAGTAAAATTTTCTTGAACTTTATCACATGTCATTTAAAGAACTTCCCCTAAAGTTTATGTTTCTTTCTCTTAAAATATTTTTCGTTATTTGAAAATCGCAAGCATGGGGTTAAGCGAGGTAAACTAATGCACAAGAGATTTTGTAAGGCACCTCATAGCTAGCTCAGGAGAGTTATGTAAGATAAATTAAATTCAGGGAGATTGTTTGCAGCACCTCCCGGTCTAAGGGAGTTCTGTGAAATTTCAGTTATTTTCCAATTTCTTTACAATGGTAGTAGTAATTAGGTTTTCACAATCTTCTCATTACCCCAGTGGATTCACAGACTCGAATGCTATTGGTCATGATAAGATTGGTAGTTGATTCATAGTAATTCCAAAATAACACAGTAATCCTTTTCCCCTAAAAATATTCTGGCCATGGGGCTTGCCAACAAGTACAAATTATCTAAATGTAAAAAAAAAAACGAAATAATTATAGTCGGATAATTTTGTTTCTTGTATGATCTTCAAGTTCTTCTAAAAATTGCCTAACTACACAGTTTGGGCCGCTCCCCCATATTATATAGATAGCCCAAGAAGCCTAGCTACCTTTTAATTACAACATATACGCATCGACAAAAAGCAACCGAGCCCATGTCCTTGTTTCAAAATAATATCGAACCCAGCCGCTCGTTTCCTCATGACCTCCTCCGACACTCCAATTTCTCCACGATCATCGTCGTCGTCGTCGTCGTCGTCATCAATCCATGAGAAATTTCCGTCATCTCTCAACGCTAGCCTCTCAGTCAACCTACGAGCTCAACACCCATCTCAAGCAACTCCTCCAATCCAACCGGCTCCTCGATGCCCGCAACCTGTTCGACAAAACCCCTCAAAGAGACCAAATCACTTGGACCACTCTCATCAAAGCCTACCTCAACTCCAACAACCCACTGGAATCCCTCTCCCTATTCTCTAACCTCCACTCAACCTCCTCCTTCGACCGCCCCGATCAGTTCGTCCTCAGCCTCGCCGTCAAGGCCTCCGCCACCTCCCCTTCTCTCCTCCCCGTTGCTCAATCCGTCCATTCACATTGCATCAAATGCGGGGCCCTCCCATCGTCGGTCTTCGTTGCGACAGCACTTGTCGATATGTACTCTCGAAATGACCCGTCTCCATCGAATGCCCTCAAGGTGTTCGATGAGATGCCTTTGAAGAATGTTGTTTCGTGGACNGAACTTGCATTGTGACTCGCATACTTATGCTACGATTTTCAAGGCGTGCACCAACAAAAACCTTCTGTCTCGGGGAAAAGAGGTTCACGCACAAACAATCAAAGCGGGTCTAGACTCTGCTTCGTTCGTGGCGAACACGCTGGCCTCCATGTACTCGAAATGCAGAGATTTTACCCAAGCGGTTTTGGTGTTCAAACGAATGCTAGTTCGAGATGTGGTTTCGTGGACTAGTGTCATCGCCACCTATGCTCAGATGGGTCGAGAAATTGAAGCCATTCGTTCCTTTATTGCTATGCAGAGCGATGGGGTGAGGCCCAACGAGCACACTTATGCCGAGGTGATCTCTGTGATCGGTGACGTTGCGCTGGGCGAGCAGATTCACGTGCACGTGATACACATCGGATTTATCAGCACAAGAACGGTCACCAACACGCTCGTCACGTTCTACTCTCGTGCCAGCCGACTCAGTTCAGCTGATGCAGTGTTCAGGGAAATACGCTCAAAAGATATCGTCTCATGGAGCTCTATTATCTCAGCTTACGCCCAAGAGGGGTACACAGAAGAGAGTTTCTCGCTCTTTGCGCAGATGCGTGATGCTGGAATACTCCCTACTGAGTATCAAATCTCTAGCCTTTTCAGCACCTGTGCATCCTCAGCGATGCTGGATGCAGGACGCCAGCTCCACGCTCTCATGATACCCACTGGAGTAGAATCTGATTCAAAGATCAACAGCTCATTGATCAACATGTACTCAAAATGTGGGATGATCGATGAGGCTCATAGGGTTTTCAAAGATACGGGAGCCGAGAATGTGGTCTCCTGGACTGCTATGATCAATGGGTATGCAGAGCACGGGCTCAGCAATGAGGCCATCAGTATGTTCGATAGCATGACGAATACAGGACTCGTACCTGATCAAGTAGCATATATTGGCGTCTTGACAGCATGTAGCCATGCAGGGCTTGTTGATCTAGGACTCAGATACTTTGAGAATATGAAACATAATTGTAAGATCGAGCCGTGGAAGGAGCATTACGGTTGCATAGTGGACATGTTAGGCCGAGCTGGACGCTTAAAGGAGGCAGAGAACGTGATCGACTCAATGCCATGGAGAGCGGACGAGGTTGTGTGGACCACAATGCTACGGGCATGTGCAGTGCATGGGGATAGCGAGTTAGGGCAGAGGGCGGCGGAGAGAGTGCTGGAGCTGGAGCCAGAGTGTGCGGGTGCACACATTGCGCTGTCGAATATATACGCGGCCAAGGGGAGATGGGGGGAGGCGGCAGTTATGAGAAGGGCGATGAGGGGGAAGGGAGTGAGGAAGGAGGCGGGGTGGTCGTGGATTGGCATCGGGGATGGTTC